AGTTCCCCATCATCTCTGACATAAAGAGGCATTCTGTGCCCCATTTTGCCTCTGATTTTCACATTATTTTGTACTAAAAAAAAAAAAAATTGTAACAGGACTGACCCCAAACAAACAAAACCAAAACAATGGTCTTGAATTTTGCTGTGCAACGTAGAACTTGCAATTACCAAATCTGACCAGTAGATGGTGCCCTTGAACCAATGAGTGAAATGTTTATTTATTAATAGTTCCCGTGTGAAAATGCTAAGCCAAAGAGGCAAATGAAGGAAAAAGGCTGATAGGTTCTTGGTGGATGCTTAAAACAGTATAAAATTCAAGTGAGTCAATAAAACAACTAAATTTCCCCTATTAGGACCCAAAATAAAGAGTCTGGGGACTTGTTAAGTTCCACGTCTTCTCTAAACAGCGTTCCAGCCTTTCCCTTTCTCCTTGTTCCTCGTTGTCTTGCCCGTTGGTTCCCCACCTCCTCCCCATCTTAAACACCCCACCTTAATCAGCTACAGAAAGCCTTTGAGGAAATTTAAAGTGATTTGTATTCTGTAATTTTGAGATTGACTTAACAGATAACTGACTCATGACCCAGAATATTCATGAACTTCTAAATATTTGATTATTCCAATTACTTTCTTAAAAGCTCTGGAACATCTTTGTATCCTTCATTAAATGAAAAGTAAGCATTACTTTGGTACATCAAGAAATCTAGCCCTGTGCCCCTTAAATATCAATTATCTAACTTCCTTTCTTTGGCCAAACCACTAGGCAACCTTCTGATTACAATTCTCGTCTTCCCCTGCCGCGTTCCCTAGGCAAAGGATGGGAGCAGCAGTGTTTGTTATTCCTACAGCATGCTGAGGACAGCGAAATGCTGTCTTTCATTCAATCCTCCAGCTACTCGAGCTAAGCCTCTGTTCCCTCTTTTATAAAACGGTATTAATAAAAGAGGATTATAATGGATCGACTTGCTTAAGGTTGCAGCTACAAGTTGTCAAACCCAGGCTGATCCCAGAGCTCAACTCACACTTTCTCAGCAAGGCCTTCCCTGACCCAGTCTGAAATATTCCACACCCTGCTTTGTCCTCCTACCATTTACCACCATCTAAGGCATGACATTTCGCTTGCTGTCTTTTGTCTTGTTCGTTGCCATATCCCAGCACCTAGAACAGTGCCTGGCACATAGTAGGTGCTCAATAAATATTTGAATATTTACTTTTGTCTGTCAGTTTGGATAATGAGCCTGAATGTATCCCAGAAAGAAGGGTCCAGTTCAGGTTGCTGACACCCCAGATCCCTGACCGAGCACTATAAAGGGGCACACCCGAGTGCTGTGATTTCTCCAAGTTGTGCGTCCTGTGTGATGTCTAAGGAGGTAAGGCTGCTTCTCTCTGGACACCTGGCTATCGACTCTCTGCCTTTTCTGCTAGACATGTCTATAGCTACAACTGAGTGAATCCCAGTTACGTGTGCCAATCATTATTAAATGGTGTGCATGCATCGTGCCTAATCCCAGCAGCACCTCTACATGTTACAAATTGTTTAAATGAGGCTCAGACAGTCTACGTGATCTGTCCAAAGTCACCCAGCCAGTCAATGGCAGAAACAATGGACTTTACTGAATGTGCAGCTGACTGCACAGGTCCTGAGGTAGTGATAAAGGGAAGCTATGTGGTCCATATGGCTGGAGACCAGACATAACCCAGGCATCTTGACAGAGGCCACCATGAAGAGTAACCAGGCTCAAGGACCAGGTGGGATTGTAGATCTCAGTGGATACCTGCATGGAAGGTAGCAATGACTACGTTCCATATTCCTCCTCAGGTGCCAAAGCTTTGATCAGAATCTTGCAGCACTTAGATGGCCCCATTCATTTATTCATTCATGTGTTTATTTGCTCAACAGGTATTTACTGAGTTCCTGCTGTGTTTTTTCTGAGGTGCTAGGGATATAGCAGTGAACGAAACTGACAAAAATCCCTGCTGTCGTGGAGTCTGTTTACTGGTAGAGGGAGATCATACGTAAACATAACGTATGAGTAAATGTTTTGGTGTGTTGGAAGGTAGGATGTACTGGGGAGAATTGGAACAGCTAAGAGAACGGGACAGGGTACTGAGATTGTAAGTTACTGAGATTGTAAGGAACAGTACAGGGTCCAGCATGGCTGCAACAGAGAGAGGGACAGGGAGACGGAGCCAGACAGTGGAACAGTCAGAGGTACGAGGGCAGACCCAACAGGCCTTGGAGGCATCTGTAAGAGCCTCAGGTTTTACTGACAGGAAAAGTACGCAGGGGAACCTTGAAGTGACCAAGCCTACCCCCAAATCCCCCTGGTATCGGGAGGAACCGAAGTTTAAAACCAAGATTTCTGAGCTACGGAAAGTAAAAGTAACATTTCTGAACCATCAAATTTGTGGCTTGTGAAATTCTACCAACCACATAAATGTGTACTATTCTGATATTTGAAAAAAAGGGAGAAGAAAAAAGAAAAATCTTCTCCCACAAAAAACACACGTGGCGCTACAACACACACCTCACAAAAACGTGAGACCCCCGGTGCACAAAAAAGCGCTTTGTGTGGGGCGCTGGGCGGATTTTTTTATTTTGTTTTGTTGCAATTTGATAAATCCAGCACCACCCTGGGCAGCTGGCACAAACATGTGATAAAACCAGGGACTTAAACTTTGCAAAAACAGAAAAGAGAAAAAATTAGTTTGGAATGGATGCAAATGAGTAGTTAATGGATACGTGGGAATCTCTCTGAAGGGGGGGAAATGTATATACATGTTATTTTGAAACAAAGCAACACGGATGTTTATCAGGGAGAAAAGCATAACTGCTCTGTGGCCGCCTGTCTAGAACAGTGGGTCTAATCAACCTATGAAGAGTTGGTACGGAATGAATGGTATACGGCTGTAGAGTCAAACTTTACAAAAAGAGGGATACAAGAAAACCAGTAAGCAAAGGTAATGGTAAAACATGTTGGTCCACTATATAAATATTGAGTAAAAAAAATATAAATTTTAGTGTTTAAAAGTGGAAGTAAAATTGTATATTCCAATACATAAGAAGCCAGGAAGGAAACATTCAGAGGACTGTGGAAGCTTGCTGAGTCCAAGAGGACAGACAGGTCCACCTCTAACATATTTTGGGGACCCAAGACAAAGGAACAAATGGAAGCCCAAATATAATATACATAAATATGTAAATGTTATAAATCAGGCTAACACCATTAAATACATTCTTTCCTCCTACCAAGACAAATATAACAACCTGGAAGGCCAAATTTGAATTTCGAGTTTCCTTAGAATTCTGTGTTGTTGATGCAGGAAAATCAGCTAAGGACACGACCCACTCCCTCCGCCTTGGCTCTGTTCTGCACCAAGGTCTCCTGTGCACACGTTGAACGCTCAGCCTGGACAGCGAGCCTTGTCCATAACCCCTGTGAGCAGCCATTCTCTGACCACCCTTCAGACCGAGAAACGAACTCACCAGAGGGTGAAGCAAGGCCAGAAGCTCCTGCAGCTCCTGCGGGATCAGGAACGTTTGGGCTGGGCATGGTCTAGAAGAGGGGGACAGATGTGACCTTCAAGTGAGCATGGCCCCTGGGAGTCCTCGCCCCATGGAAAAGGTGGGGAATGTCCTCTCATGAAGGCTCAGGGGGTCTAGCAGAAGGTGGGTAGTTGGATCCATGGCGGTTCCAGTATGTGGCCCCCTGGTGTGGGTGCTCTCCCACCGTCAGGGTTGGAAGGAATTCAGTCTACCTGTCTAGTTTTCTTCTCCTTTCTTTGGGGCCAAGATCTATTAATAACATACTGCAGCAAACCTAGACCAACCTTTCCCTTGAGGTCCACGAATCTCCTTAGACTCCTCCACGTTCACATCCCTGCCCGGGGAGGGCGGGGTGGTTCCAGCGTGGCCCCAGGTTGGAGCCGTCTCCTGGCTAGACTGGCAGTGGGCAGTGCCTCAGAGCACTGGCTGGCGGGCTCCTGAGAGGTGGATGGAGGCTGACCCTTTGCCATCATCCCAGACGCCCTGCCTACTATATTTTTTAAAAGCAATATATACTGATTTAAAAGACAGAGATTATAAAATTTAAATAGCTGGCCCTTCTACCCATCCAATTTCACTCCCCTGAAATGGCAAATGTCAGTAATGAGGAGTGTCTCAGGGCACAACTTCTTTATGCGCCTACAAACATTAACAAGTGGTGTGTTGCAGCATACACAGAAACTTTAATTTTGTAACCACTACTAAGTTCAAATCCCTCTTTCCCCTTGGACTGAGATGTAAAGGGAGCCACTACCCAATTCCAGAATTTTCCATCACTTCAGGATGTTAGAACAGTCCCATTTCAGTTGCATCTCAACTGTGTATCTGATTCAAGGTTCTTCTTCTCACTCTTGTCCCTCCCAACCCAGGTCATGCTAGACTGATGGCTGCAGTTTTCTCTTTCACACATCCTCCCTCTTCTGGGCTTTTGTCCCTTTGGAGTTGGGATAGGAAGAGAGAAAAAACGAGATGGCACAGCTGACCATACAGGGCTGCCATTCCTTCTCCTGGTTGCCACTGCTTCTCTGGCTAATTGGCTGGCAGCCATTCAGTGTGTTGGCAGATATCCCAATGCCAGCTCTCTTTGGGGATGTGTTAGTGGGTTCTTCAGACGGTCCAAGGGGTAACCCCCTCTCCAACCTCCCACCAAGTATGATATTGTTACTGGGATGCCCTTGCCCATCAGGAAGCCCCTTCTAAGGGTACCATAAGGATGACCTTTAAACCCAGCTCCTTCCAAGAGGTACCCTCAACCCCTAGGGAGGTCAGGCATCCTTGCTGTGACATGTGGTGGGTGGCAGGCTGCCCCCTTGGCATGTACACTCTCAGGCCAAGACATCGGGGGCCCTGCTGGACCCCCAGGTCAGAAGCTTTCAGAGACGATCACTCCTCCACCCAGTGCACTGTTCCAACACCTTCGGTCCTCTAGGAATAAGGATGAAAAGCCGCCTCTCTCATGGCAAAGAGAGGATGAAAGGTTCGTTGTCCTCCACAAACCGTGTCTTCTTGTAAACTAATTTCTCTCTCAGACCCGTACTCCTCTTACACAGGTAGAGGACGTAGGAGAGGTGGTAGTGGCAGCTCTGCTAAAAAAGGCACCATTGTATGAATAGACAGAAATGTTCTGAATTTGGAATTTGAGGCATTTAGTACCTTTTGCTATCAATTCTAAGTTTAGTCAAACTTCAAGAAAATAAGGAAAGTACCACCTGACTCCTAATCTCACCTGGTTACATATCCATATATTGAGGTCTCTTTTCTCATTTTTATATTCTGTTTACACAAATAGACGCATGCATGACAGTAGTCCTCCTACCCCCTTATCCATGGTTTCATTTTCCATGGTTTCAGGTACCTGCCATAGTCTGAAAATATTAAATGAAAAATTCCAGAAATAATTCCTAAGTTTTAAATTGTGCGCTGTTCCAAGTATCGTGATGAAATCTCAACCCATCCCTCTCCAACCTGCCCAGGACGTGAATCATCCCTTTGTCCAGCAGAGTCATTTATAAATTTTATCACGGGTATGTATGTATAGAAAAAAACATATATACAGGGTTTGATACTAACCTGAGTTTCAGGCATCCACTAGGAGTCTTGGAATGTATCCCCTGGGATAAGGAGAGACTATTGTACTCTATGTCTTCAGGGTAGAAGGTTAACTAACACGTAGCAAATGTCTAATAAATTATTAGTCATGATAGCCAATATTATGGCTTCTTCTTTTCATCTCTTTTTTTGTCTTTCAATTCTTTCTTACGTGAAATGTTTTCTTAATGTTTTGCTTCCTGTAGGAAAATATTTTTGTGAAATTTTTTAATTCTTCAGAGTAAATCTTAAGCATGGATCCACGTTGCATTTTTTTTCTATTCATTCCATCTTTTATGCAACTAGTGTGCTGTCTTGCATACTATAAACACAAATGTTTATCATAAGTACATCTCAATTTTTTTTAAATTGACTTAGAAAATGAAGCTGGATGTGAGGCTGACATTTTACTAATTTCTCTCAGAAATAATTAAAGCTCTGTAGTCTTATCTGTAGCGGACTTTACGCTTTCCCAGCATAAATTCTCTCTCTACATTTCCTGTGGCTCTTGATTTTTGTTGGGGTTGGTTCTAAGGAAAATAATTACTATTAGTTAATAATAACAATTAGTGTTAATTATTTACTAATTATTACTATTAATAGTAACCTTGATGATACTTCTAAGCAATAACAAAGTTAAAGATTCATATTAAATACTGCAATAATGTTTCAAACTTTACAGGATTTCTACTTAAAAATCATAAGCATATACTATTTGTTAATGATACATTTTATACTGGAGTCACAAAGGGTAACCTGTTACTTGAATAAGATAAATTATCTCAAGCACTACAAATGTTCAAATGTCAAGTGTACTTATTATTCCTTAATCCTAAAATATTACTACCAAAGGTTTAAATTTGTTCTATATTCAACTTTTTCTACATTTTCCCAAGATTTAAACACATTTACCCAGTAAGGAAACAAGTTTGTTATTTCAAATGTTTTGGATTGCCTTCACAACCAAAGTCTTGTGGATACCTTCTCTGATGGCCGAGATTGCTGAGGTCTGCAGCCCCATCAAGACTGTATAGCTAACCTTCCTGTTCTTGTGGTTTTGCATCTCTCTGTTTCCCATAAGAGAGTGAAACATCCTTTTAGCTCTAAAACTACTTTTAAAGTTCATTCCATTGGATCCCTTCGTGGTCTTAGTTAATTCTATGCAACCTATTTGAATCGAAGAATCCTGTATTCTTTTCTTATTGTAACTATCTGCAAGGGCTACAGCTTTTTTGAATTCTAAATAACTGTCAGGGCTTTATTTGACTCTGTGGCCACAGTTCTATGGTTAAATGTCACATAACACAGAAGAGAAAGTAATTAATACAGTACCTTGTAGTAAACACTCTGTAATGTGCCAAGGTGGTTTTTTTATCAGCTACTTGCACCTGGTGGTCAGGTAGGTACATACAGCCTCCAAAACACCCTCGGGTGGAAGGGAATGAGGGGGGGAAAACTGAAGATACCAGAACTCCTGGAGAACTTGAAGGTCTAGGGAGCATGCTGCCTTATTTTCTACTTCATGTAACTATCTCTGAGATTCCATATCCTTTGCCATTAAAAGAACTTCATGTCTTCTGTGTCTGTTAGGGATCTATCAATCACATCACTGTCCTGTTGTGACAACAACACAAATGGAAGCTAAAAACAAAAAACCCCTCATTCAAACAGGTTTAACGTAAAGGGAAAGTAATGCTCCATGTTTCTGAAACATTCAGAGGTAGGGCTGATTTCAGGAAAGGCACTACCTAGCAGCTCAGCATGTCAGAAGCCTATCCCAGAGCCAAACACTGTTGCCAGGGACAAGCTTAGATGAGGTCATAGGTGCAAATTCCTTATCCAGGTTCGAATTATACTCCTTGGAGCCAAGCCAAACAAAAATCAAGAGCCACAGGAAATGGAGAAAGAGAGAATTTAGGCTGGGAAGGCGTAAAGTCCACTACAGGTAAGACTACAGGTGATAAGATAAACAGCAACAAAAATAATTCTCTCTCTCCTTCTTTGGCTATGTATTTGGCATGAGACTATGCCATATTTCATTTCAAGAATGTTTAAAATAGTCAGGCACAGTGTCGTGCACCTGTCATTCCAGCTACTTGAAAGGCTGAAGCCCAGGAGTTGGAGGCTGTAGTGTGCTATAACCGTGCCTGCCAACAGCCACTGCACTCCAGCCTGGGCAACACAGCAAGCAAGACCTTGTCTCTTTTTTTTTTTTTAAAGTTTAAAGCAGCTCTGTTTAAAATAGCAGAAAAATTGGAAGCAACTTTAATGTCCAACACTATGTCAGATAAATAATTCATGATACCTCTATATAATAAAACAGCATATCGGCAGTTCTCAACCTCTTAGGTCTCAGGACTCTTATATACTTTTAAGAATCATTGAGCACCCCAAAGAGCTCTTGTTAATAATGTAGGTTTATAACTATGGCTATTTACCATTTTAGCAATTAAACCTGAGGGCAGGCACAGTGGCTCATACCTATAATTCTAGCACTTTGGGACAGCAAGGCAGGAGGACTGCTTGAGGGTAGATCAAGACCAGCTTGGACAACATAGCAAGAACCCATCTCTACAAAAATTAGTCACATGAAACTGTAGTCCCAGCTACTCGGGAGGCTGAGGCAGGAGGAT